GCACTGCCATCGCCAGTAATCCCGAACCTTGAGCCCGCATTCTGAGCCAAAAACAGACTGCAGGAGTAGCGCGTTCATAGGGGACTGCCTCAGCTGTTGGAGTATCCAGCGGTTAACCAGATCCGCCTTGCTGTCAGAGTCGTAGCTTTGAACCAGAGTCTCAATCGCATATTCCTTTGCGGCAAGCTGTTGTTTCTGGCTTTTGAGGGGGTCGTTATACGGCAGACCAAATACGGCCGATAAGGCTTGTTTCGCTGTGAGTGGCACTGGGCCCCCCAGCAAGTGACTCTTCTGGGCGAGTAGCTCGGAATAACGCGGATGTTTTGCAGTTGTGTACTTTTTAAGGATGTCTCGAGTGTCTTCAAGGTTCATGTCCTCATATACCATATCAGGGTTCAACAAGTAAGACATTTGTAGGGGCAAGAACTTCTTCATGGCCCCCTTCTCCTCACATAGCAGTCTCAGTCGCTGTACTTCGTTTTCAAGCGCGTTGATGACATCCTCCATGCGCGATTTCTGGTTTGGCAGCTCGGCAAAGAATTCTTCGGCATCCCGATTTATGTTTCGGCCTGTCCCTTCTCTCAGGGCTCGATCCTTTTCGAAATCAGAGTTCATAAACAATAAATCCTCATATTCCTCCTTTGCATTCTCCAAATTGCCAACGGCAGTCGAAAATTTGTGATACAGGGGGTGAACATCTTCCAAAGGCTTGTCAGCAGATATACCAACGAGGTAGTACGGAGTTTCTGCATCAGCGTCGAGGGTTGTGTCGGCAGTGCTTGTACGAGTCGGCTCAGACTGTTCTGCGTGGCAATCTTGTCCCGCAGCTAAGATGCTGAAAAACTTGGTCTCAAGTCCACTGAGCTCCTGCTCCTCCTCGTCCAGGTCCACCTCTAGGCTTTCATAGCTCGCTTCGCTGAAGTGATATTCCTCCCTCAGTTTCAGCATCGCGGCCATACGGCTGTCAAGGATTTTGAGGGATGATGACAAGACGTCGCTCCGTTGGCTCACTAGCAAAGGACGTAGAACAGCCATAAATGCATTGTCAGCGTCATTCTTTCGAAGCCGTAAATTTCGTAGCTCTTGTCGTCGTTGTGTCATATGTTTCCTTATGTCTTGCAATTTTGCCCTCTTCTGCTTTAGTTGCTTCCACAAGTGTTCCACCGCGGCGTGCGATGAAACAGCGGAAGACTGGGACCTTGCAGCTTCAGATTCGAGGAGATCAGATAATGCAGGCGTGGTGGCTTCTTGGCGCCGTAACCTAGCAGGACCGTGTGACTTTTCATACTCAGATACCCAGTTTGTGATTCGGTTTGTGGCGAATGACCTGTTTCGTCTCGTTGATAAATGGTGATTGGGTTGCGCTGGAAGCTGAGGGGGGAATTGCCTAGCATTTCGATATGCAAAAGTGTCCTCCTGAGAGCTGTATTCGGAGCTCGATGCTTCTTCACTGGTGTCAGGCCACGGTATGAACTGTAGGGTCTTGTTGAAGACTTGACTGGAGCAGCAGGGACCTTGCAGTTGCATAGGGCTCTCAGTAGACCCTGTAATGCTCGGGGTCGGATACTGCCGGAGCAAGACGTCTGTACTGCTTTCTGATTGTTGTCGTGAGTTTCTGTGCGTTGCCGGTGGTGAAAATCTTTGGTGGTTTGTGTCTAGTTTTTCCGCAAGGAACCTCGGCGGCGGCGGGAAAGCGTGCGGCAGGGGGGCCTGAGGAGCTCGATCACAGCAAAAGCCATCTGGTAGAGGAAAGGATTGCGACAAGGCATGTGTTTCCTCTAAGTAGTATGTTAGTCTGGCAGTGAGGGATTTCGCCTGCGGAAAGCCAATACGAACCGTCTGTACCAATATTTGGGCCTGGCGCAGGGTTGCGGGGAAACTCAGAAACTTGGCGAGGCTGATTAAATTGTTGAAAGTATTGAGGATCGCGATGACGGGGAGGAGGCGGCGGCGGCGGCAGGGCCCCGGGAATAGGTATCGCAGGCGTTCTGCTGACATGAGGAGTATGAGTCTGGGTTGTACGAGAAGACAGTGGTGGTCGTGATATTGGCGGTGGTTGTGGATCGGGCGTAGTAACTCTGCTCGAGACCGTCGATGCGTCGCTATGTAAGTTCCAACTATCACTTCCCTTCATATCATCTTCATCACGCGAAGAGGCCGTAGTCGCCAGCTTTTCCATCAATCGATCTGTACTAGCAGACATATCAGACTGGACAGCATGATCCGAGGCCGCTACATCCATGTCGTGATGTCGAGTCGAGGCAGCGAAGCCTCGAAAGGTGGCAGACTGCATGATGAAAGATGGTGACTGTCGAATGTTTCTGAATCAGATGTTTCTGTTGCTGCTGCACCTCGTACTGAGCAGGGAGACTGCGTCAGCAATGGGCAGCGGCCATGCCTTGCCTGGAATGAAGGCATTCGAGCCTCGCGAACAAGGCCGAGACAGGAAGGGTCAGACTCGAGGATGGCAAATATTCCGTGGGTCAAATCGCTGTTCAGTATGGACGTTGGCAGGTCTCAAGAGTCGTCTGTCGCCTGTTCTCGTCGGCGCTGCTCGTTCCCGCTGGGCTCGCAAAGAAGAAACTCCTTAAATAAGAAGGTGTGAGCCTTCGCCTCCGTCGGGCACCCTTTTGCCCGCCCCTTGACGGGCGCTGATATTCGCCGGACGGACTGTGACAGAACTCGGTCAAGCTTTGCTTTGTTGATTGTGCTACAGCTTTGACACCTAGACCTCCTCGTCAGCTCCAAGCCAGCACACAGCCTTGCGACAGGACAGGCCCAGCGCACTCGTTACTCCGAACAGAGCAAGAAATTCCAGTGTTCAAGTGTCGACCAGGGAGGGCAGGGCTCACAGACTGGTCCATGTCTTCGTTGATGCGTGGGGATTGGATGCAGAGAAAACGACAGACCAGTGAGATGAGTGTGAAATCAGAGTGCGTGTGGTAATAATGCTAGGAGGCCCGGAAATGGCACACCCAGGACACATCCATGTCTCTGCACAAAGTGTTTACCGTGTCTGTATCTGTGACACGAGGCCATCCATGGTCGGACGACAAAAATGAAAGTGAAAGACAAGGGCAGCTCGTTTCGGGAGTCCTGGTCACAGCCCCCATGTCCAGCCGCGATACTGATGCTCCCCGGACTGGCCCCTCATGCACGCCTGATTGCAGCGGTGCACCAGAATTCCTGTATGTACAGAGTATCCCGCGCAAAAGAGCCCAGAGGGCACTCGGCTTCGCACTGGACAAACAGACAGACATAGGCCACTTGACGGCCCCGAGGTTGACTGGTGCATCATGGACGTGATGCACCGATGGGAAACAGGGGCGCTGAGACGCGGTAGCGTCGGTCCAGCGTCTGTCCACTAAGGGGAGGGTTATGGGTGCACGGGTTGTGGGTCTCCCGCCACCAAGGCGCCACAGGGGAGGAAGGAGCCAACGGAACGGGCCTTCAAGGCAGCTTCGGCCAACTTGTAGGGAAGGAGCCACTCACGCGATGTGCAGATGATGAGGAGGAGGGGGCCAGCTGGCACCTGGGACCCAGCAGTGCCAGGCCGGGCCGTCATCTCCCAAGCCTTTGACTTGTTCATGATCCTCTTAGTCGCCGTTTCGAGCTCCCTTCTCCGTTGCTAAGCTGCACTACTCCGTAGAGCTGCGGATTCTCCTGCAACTGGACGTGGGTATACCTGGTCAGGCTGCGATCCATCGACTCGTTTCTCATTTTCATTGTACCGTACGGAATCGCAAATCTAGCGCTGGTGCTATGCCCGCCCGCACCTCTCTCCGCTTACGCGCTCAAGCACGCCAACGTGTCCTCATCTGAGCCGGCGCCAGAGCTGTGTGAGAGAATATTGAGGCTCTGTCGGATGTGCCTTCACAATTGCTTCGTCTGTTTGGCGGTTGCCTAGGATTCCTGGTGTGATAGCTGACAGTTGAGTCACAGTCCCATATAATATGTTTCACTTTCAATGTTGTCTGGCTGATCAGGGCTGGATATCAATGCGGGATGCGCCACCATTTAGGAGTCAATACGCCTGGGATGACTGCCCACCATCAACTCCCACGCCGCGGACAATGGGCCCAGTTGGTCCAATACAAAACGCTGTGTCACTCAGATCCAGGCGCGCATTGTGTGCTCATGGCCCGGACAACCCCAAGTTTGCCGGCGTACAACATTGAAGTGCATTGTGGACTTGACACAACAAGTCAATGGGGTCTCCCACTATGGCCAACCGCTGCTGTCCCGTGGATGACTTGCTGACTGGTTAGTGAGCTGACCGGAGCAGTAGGCATGACCTTCCGAGTGGTTACACCCATGGTATAACTTCATGGCAAAACACGCAACCTCTAGTGAATCTGGGTCCTAAGCTGGGTCTGAAGGCCGACGTGTGCGCGACCATTCTGTCCGCTTCCTGCACTCCACTCCGTGGTAGCTTATCCTGACCTATGCTAGTTTTGCTATCCTATCCGTGTGTTGGAGATGCCGTCAACCCACTTGATGCAGCACCGTCAGATGCCAACCAACCCAGAGACGCGGCTGCATGGGCACCGCCGCCGCGTGCGCAGAAAACGCCAGAGAGGGGGGGGACATTGGCCCACGGCCTACCCACGCACGTCTGGCGGCAATGTAATAGTTCTTTGAGACGAATTTACGACCCGTGCGGCGTGGGATCCTCGCTATCTGGTGTTGTGCCCCAAGCCAGCTTACCCGTTTGTCGCAGCAGCAACTGGGAGGCTGTCGCTTCAGTTGCTTATAGCCTCCTCCACTTTGAGCCTTTGAGCCGCACCCGCCCATGCTTTGGATCCCCCATCCTACAAGAACCCCTCTTGGCCGTCCTAGGATAGGTTGTGGTATTTGTTGCTGATACTCGCCTTCCCGGCGCGCCTCGTGCTTGTGACTCGCCGTGTTCTTGAAAAGCGCCCTCGTGAATACTTGCACATCAGACACGGGCACCATATCGGCCGAGTGCCTTTCCATATGTTAGCTACCCCGGCGTCACGATGGACACATGGAGCGCTTGGTCGAATTGGGCCTACGATGAGGCACAACAGTTTATGTATCGTGTTCGGCAGGACATAAACGGTGGGATACCCAATTTGGATCATTGCCTTGTTCGACTTGATTGCTAAACCACTAGCAGGAAATTTAGATTATGATTACAACTATGATACGCCTCGCGAGTCTGGGGATGTTGCGGGAATAACTCAAAGCCTAGGAAGCACCCGCCTCTCTCCCTCTGCCTCGAGCTACGAACAGCAGCCACCCGATTCACCAGGTTAGTTCATCAAGTGAAGTGGTTTCGGTGTCGGACACCTTTGCCAAGTCACCATATCTCCACACCCTCGCTCCTGAATGACTCTTGAAATTGACAACATGCCCTGTTGGACTTGTAGAGAACTATGTTGTAGCTAGTCACAAAGACAAGGAACGGTCCAAAGCATCCAAGTCGAAAAGCAAAGACAAGGACAGGTCATCAAAGGAGAAGAGCAGCAGCGGCAGCAGCAGCAAACATTACTCACATGATAAGACTTCTTCTTATCGTAAAGGGCATGGAAGCTCTTCAGCTTCGGCGTCTTCTCACGGCCATGGAAGCTCTTCCACTGCTCCGCAACAGAGCTCCCATGCCCCCTCATATGATCAATCACAGTCACAATGTAAGATCTTTGACCATCAACAAACGACGTGCTGTCATCGATGCTTACCAGAGCAGACTCATACGATGCGCAGAAATACGTCATCCCAGGGGGCTACCAGACAGCGGAGGCATCTTATGCATGTAAGTCGTTTTGAGCAGGCAGCGTCTACCTTCCTAGGTACCTGGCAGCTCAGCATCAGTACTTGCGTCCAAGCATTACTAACTCTCACCACAGCTACCCAGGGCTCTGGCTATGCTACGACTCATACTCAACAGCCGCTACCACGAGGCTACAATGATATCCAAAACCTCACATATGGCATGGGTCCGGCTGCGGCCGGCCCGTCAGACTTGAATTACTCTGTTTCATCAGAAAGTAGGTCCAAATTGCCTCTTCCTTACACGAACATGCTTATCTCCCAACCTGAGTCTAATAATAGCAATACAGCCTATGAGCAAGAGGATGACGGCGCTTCCACTCCTCGGAACCACATTGCCGCAGAAACTGGAGATGAACTTGAAACAATTGATCCGAGTAAGGGACTTATGGCCCACATACATGTCTATGTCGCTCATGCCGTATATCGCTAGGGTACCGGGTTGAACACTCAAATAAATTCGACCCCGGAGCGGTGAGTTCTCGTGTGCAAGTATGACCAGAAAATAGCAAAAAAATACTGATATATCCCCAACCCCCAGATCTTCAAGGTGCTGTGGTCCGAACCCAAAGGATCCACAGACGGTCTAAAACATCCCAGTGTTTCTGGGAAGCAAGAGATACAGAACAAATATGGTGCGAAATTCCATGTAGGATTTCGCCGCTTCATCGTGATCGCAAATGACCATGGGCATTGTACCTGCGTGTGAGTGCTCAGCCGCCTGGCCTTGTACAGCCCAACTCTATCGTAGCGGGGCAAAGTGCTAATATTCTATAGCCCGATTCTCACCTATGGCGGCAGAGGCTGTAAGAAGTCTGGTGTTAAACCCAACAAGCATGGAATCGTTTACGAAGCAGGCCAGAGACCTCGCCAGGTCGAAGGTGAGCCTCGGCTAGGATTTCAGGCCGTTCAGGTTCACCTGACCGAAGATGGTGAGAGGCTTTCTAGAGAGTCGCGCGTTAACTATTCCAAGCTGGTCACTATTGAACACAACGTCAGTGTTTTTTTCATTGGATCTGTTGCGCAAAATAGCTGGCAAATTGTTGAGGAAGCCGTCAATCAATGTTGGGACCAAAAGGTCCACCACCGACATCCAAGGCATGAGAGATAGAGCGGGCTTTGCGGTCCACTCGACTCATATTCCTGCTTCGGCTCACAGACACGTTTTTTCTCCTACTCTTTACCACATCTCTCGACGCGATATGGTTTTGGGCTCATCGCAAAGCACAAATACGTTCCTCTCCCAGCCGTGCAATGGCCGGCTTATATCCATGCTGTGGGGATTTCTCCTCCGTTTTGCAGCCTTTAAAACAGTAGGCTGCTTATAGGAGTGGGGATATCTCATGAAAGATGATTTTAGGTAGCATCAGACAAGAATGCGGAGGCTTGTTCAGGTTTTTCGCTCAATTCTCTTTCAATTTTTCTTTCGTTCCACTTATTCTTCCACCCGGGCACATAAAGGGTCAGTTTGAACAGAGTACAGCTCTACATTCAGGTAGAGAGCAACACGCCATGGAGGCAAATGGCGATAACCCTTTAGGGTTTCATCTTTAATGTTCTACTCATCAGCATCTTCCTCTATTCTTTTCCTCTGCCATTTCTGCCCTGCTATCTTTAGGGTACTTGTTTTCGTGTTTTATTTTCTTACCGTGGAGGAACAGTACACAAATAGGTGGTTACAACACCATATTATGATGATACAGCGCATGCCAGTCGCAGAATACAGCTTCCAAGATGGCAACAGGTATATATCGTCCCTCTTTCTCCATGCAATCACCATGTAATGTTTGACGTCGATTTGTTTCGAGTGGAAGCCCCGTGGCCTCCTTGCACGTCTCCTTTGTTGGCAACTTGGTTATTAGTCTGGATTATAAATTGATTACATTACCTGGCTTTCATTCTATAAGAATGACCTGGACCCTGCATCTGAGACGGCCAACTACTCGATCTAGAACTACCCTACATGGCTTCGGAGCGGTTTCTCAATCAATGCGGCTGGTTGAAGTGGTCTAGATCCCCCACATCACACGGCCCCGTATTAGCATTGGGTCTTGATAATACCTCGGCATCTCCCCCACAAACGCCATGCGTCATTGGAGAATGCAGACCCATCAAGCCGTCAACTCCAGGCGCCGAGGTGCGATTCCTCCAAGTCCACGGCCCAACGTCGACGCAAGCACGTTAGCTCCGGAGTTTGTCTTGTCCGCAGCTGTGTAGCGTAATCATTCCTGATTAAGTCCGCCCAGGCGTGTAACAGTGTGGCTAGCATTGATCCTGGACCGAGGACCGACCTTGGTTGCATGGCTCGACACTACGACTTCATATAACCCTAACTCCCAACAGCCTGCTCTCGCCCTGCTCAAACTTTCCTCTCTCTTCTTCCACACATTCGGAGACATCACTACCGACAGATAGCAGCCATGGCCGAAGCCCAATTGACAGATTTCCCATCCCTCTTCTCGCTAAAGGGAAAGGTCGCAGTGGTGACCGGCGGTTCTCGCGGTCTCGGACTACACGCCGCATCCGCGTAAGTTGAGCCTCGTCGCCGAGGAAAAGGGAAAGGGGGCACAGAAAATGGCTAACGGTGCACCAAAAGCTTCCTCCAAGCCGGCGCCTCCAAGGTCTTCATCTCGTCCCGCAAAGCCGCCGCCTGCGACGAGGCCTGCAAAGCCCTCAATGCCCTTCCCAACCGCTCGCCCGGCGCCGTCGCCATCCCCATCCCCGCCGACTCGGCCAACATGAAGGGCGTGACGCACCTGCTCGAAGAGGTCAAGAAGCACACTGACCGCGTGGACATTCTCTTCGCCAACGCCGGCGCCACCTGGGGCCAGGCCTTTGACACCCACCCCGACGAGGCCTTTGCCAAGGTCATGGATCTCAATGTCAAGGCCGTCTTCAACACGGTCCGCGTCTTCGCGCCGCTGCTGGACAAGGCCGCTTCTCGCGCGGACCCCGCCCGCGTCATCATCACGGCCAGCGTCGCCGGCTTGGGCATTGGCACCATTGGCAAGCAGGGCACCTATGGGTACTCTGCGTCCAAGGCGGCCGTCATCCACCTCGGCCGCAACCTGGCCATCGAGCTGGGTCCCAGGGGCATCACCGTAAACTCCATTTGCCCTGGTTTCTTCCCTAGCAAGATGTCCAACGGGCTCTTGGAGATATCGGGCGGCGCCGACAAGATTGCCAGCACGAACCCCATGGGGCGACTTGGCGTGCCGGAGGATATTGCGGGTGTGGTGGTGTATTTGGCCAGCAGGGCCGGTTCGCACGTCAACGGCGAGGCTATCGCCATTGATGGAGGTGCAATGTGGGCGAGGGGGGAGTTGGCTTTCCCTGGGGAGGGGAGCTCCAAGTTGTAGATGTGCATGTTACGGAATAGATCAATGCAATGACCGAATGTAAAATTCATGATCAGGGGGTCATTGGAAATACCGTGAGCCCGCCGTAGTGATTCGCCACGTCTATTGCTGTGCCCAGCGTTAAAATTTTATACGCAACAACGCTGTATCCGCTCCCAAATAAACACCATGCACTTCGCTTGGCGACTCGTCAAGTCTTGCACACAGGGATGGGATCGCCACCTCACTCCTGTTTCGGCTTCCTTGCCACCCATGCTGCGGCTTTATATACAGTGTGCAACATGCTCTCGCTGTCTTGGATATACGGCGTCTCTATTCCCGTCTGCTTCCACTCCACTGTGAATCCCAGCTTCTCCAGCAATGCCATCACCTCATCATTGGACAGCTCGAAGCTCCCTGGGTCTGCAATGCCCGATGAGTTATTATAGTCGTGCTCGCCATCTCCGTCGTCATCATGCCCATGGTTCCCGGGTGCTTGATTCTCAAAGTGCCACAGCAGCGGGCCGACATTGATGAGAACACCACCTGGTCGGAGGCAGTGGCGGATGACTTCCAGATACCGTATCAGATTGGGCGCAGTGTCAAGGAAGAACAGGCTCGCGACAGCATCGTACGACTCCTTGTGCTCCTCGTCTGCGTACAGGCAGAGAAAATCAGCGGCGCACATGGACATGCTTCCTGCGTTTGCCGTTTTGGCCAACGTCGTGGCGGGGTGAATGTCGGGCACTTTGTAGCTCCGTAGGTGGTTCGCTCGGGTGAGATGGTTGGAGAAGGTGTGTATCCAGGGGTATATGGTGTACTTCCCTTCCGTTTGGCACTCGTTCAAGATGTAGGATGACGCCAGAAGTTGGTGATAGGAAATCTCGTTGCCTTCAGCTTCGTATCCCTTGCGGCACAGCTCAAATACCAATCTTCCCAGTCCTGCGCCTGGCACCAGCACTTTCGGTTGTCTCTCCTCTCCGATGCGTGCCCGCTCTTGCTCAAGCGTCTTCAAGATGGGCGCGTAGCAGATGTCGCGCTCCACGGCGCCTTCTGCTGTCCAGTCCCTGTAGAATTGTCTGATTGTACTCCGAGCCTTGTCAATATCTCCATGCTTGGCTACGCCTGTCCACTCCAGCGGTATCATGGGCTCGCCCTGCGGAGAGACGGCGGCAAGGTTGTGGAATGACCGTAAACCATGGGCTACAATTGCACGGGCCAGCTCGGCGTTAGCATCTATTGCGTCGTCTGTTCTGTCTAGGGTTTCAAGAAAATTGAAAGGGGGCGCCGCCAGCATCTTCCAGTGTGCTTGAGGAAGCGCGTAAAAGGAGCGCCGTCTGAGGTGAGTGACATTAAAGTGTGCGACTTTGGGGTATTGCCTAAAAGATATGGGATCAGTATAAACTCACATGTCACAAATGGGCCAAAAATAAAATAAGATGAATAGCAGATAAAGAACCATAGTGGTGTTGTTGAGAGAATGAAAGATGCAACCGGCTCATTGGAGGGCAGGATTTATAGCATGTGCAGGACTTACGAGAAAGAGTCGAGAGCATAGAAAACTACTTTCACCTCCTCTGGATCATCCATGTTATCTTCCGTGCCGCGCCAGGCAGTAGTATCAGATGACGAAGCTAGCTGCTCCCCTTGATCCGCCATCTTGTTGTGTTGGGATATCTAGTCACAGGATACTCATGGCAACGCCAGCAGTAGCCGGCTAGCTTGGGTTCGAGGCGGCCTTGGTAAAAATAGTTTAGGCAGTATCCGGGCCATACAGACTCTCAGAAGGAATTTTCGGTCTACTAACGAGAAGCTAGAAAATATGGCATTGGCGGAAGAGCGAGACTTGGGTTGTGCTTTTTCAAGCACGGAGGGGAATGGATAGATAGCGGAGCTTGTAGATACGTGCACGATCCAATCAGGCACAACTGCTTTAAGGTTCTAGCCAATCATGTGATCTACCTTGGGCTTCAGATTTCCATTTCAACACCACGAACAGTGTACGGAGTACCTTGTCCATGATCAACAGCAGCGGTTACACACGTCATAGCTCTTGTGCACACAAACCCTGGGGCATTTATTAAAGTTTCCTTGCCTTGGTACGGGCTTAAGACATCGATGGCAGCTATTCAAAATGAACCCCTCAACTTCTCACTGCCCCTCCCCCACTCTCTGGACACGCGGATCTACGTTCGCCTGAGCACCCAAGCCAAGGCCATTGTGTTGTCTCTTACAACAGCAACACAAGACGAGTTGGCGGCTCCGAAGCCCATGGGCTCCTTTGTTTACGCATTGCCAAATGTTTGTCAACCCTCTGCCTTGTGTGCAATGTAAATGTGGCTAATGGTGGCCTTAACCATAGAGGTTTGATGACAAGCAGCCGCTCTCGACAACCCTGTTCCCTTCAGAACCAAGCGTCGAATTCACGACTCGATTAGCAAAGCTTCTAGCAAGGAGAGTACAGTTGCCTGTCTATGTGACCAATTCCATGAGCTTCGCCAACACGGGGATGGGAGGTGCTGTCGAGGAGGAAATGGAAGCGTTCAGGAACCTTGTTGCGGTGATAGTTGATAAACTAAAAGCTGCCGGTGCGGGTGCGTTGGCGGTGAATGGGGAGTTATCCAAGTGATGGTCAGAATTGTTCAACAACGCAATTTTTTGGAAGCCATTATTGGAGAAGACAATACGCTGGTCGCGTGCGTTGGGTTTCGTCGTCACGAGGATGTACACTGAAGCGCCCGCCGAGCGGCGATCTAAAGGATTGGCTGTTTTCAATATGGACAACGCAGTGTTTGAAACTTTGGATGCTCAGGTACAGTTCCATGTGTCCGGTAGCCTCGACTCAACATGCCTTCTCCAAGTGTTGCCGTTTGAATTCCCGGGCAATGAGTTGCAAGAATGCGAGTGGATGCGATGTGGGGGCATTTTTGAACTAACCCCGGTTCTGGCCGCAGAGGCCACCGAATGCTGAAAAAATTGCTGCCGCCCTGGCTTTCCCTGGTTCTCGACGTGAATAAAATCTGGTAGGGGCAACCGAACCATGGGTGTGGCCAGGGGGTTGAACCAATGAGCCTGCAGCCTCGACCAAGAATGGATGCCCGGGTTATCGTTATCGCACCCCGCCACCACAACGTGGTACTGGCAAGTTTGTTCAATGCCTTGCTGGTTTCCCCGCCAGACCAAATGGCACTGCTTGCAACAAGCGCCATTCAGCTTCGCAAACAGGTTTTGATTACCCTTCGGTGCTTAGAAGGCGAATGAGTCGGTGTTTTTGACAACCGCTACTCCGTATTAGCAAACCTCCCGCGACGCTTGTTTCTCGCATACCAGACGGACACCCTGGCATTCGTCCGGCCTACCCCACGACCCTGGTCCTACCTGGAGGGGCAGAAACTTTGACCTTACCACCTCCCTCACCTGACTGTACCGAGTATGCCATTCACCAGCTGCCCTTTGCCCGCCTTCGTTCCTCTGAGATAACAAGCTGATGCTCGTCAAGACGCGCTCTCGCTAAACCACGCGTAAAAGAAGTCTTTGCTCCAAGCCGTCCCCGACAAAACGCCAGGACTCGACCTCTTCGTTCCTGAAGTCGTCGAAATGTCGTGGCAACCATCTCAGGACTCGCTGAGGCAGCTCGCCGCATGCCTCAGGGACTCCTTGAGCGGCTTTGACAAGAGTGCTCAGAAACAAGCCGAAGTGGTCTGTACCTCCTCGCTTCTTTGCTTACATGGTGAACTGCTACTGAGTCCCGCCTAGATGCTGCAACAGGCAAAGAGCTCCCCCGACATTAATAATTATCTTGCATATCTCTTCTCAAGCGCTCACCCACCAGATGGTTTGCAATGCAGCGAATCTGACTACCACCTCGTGCGATCGGCTGCCGGAATCATGCTGAAGAATCATGTAAAATCGGAGTGGAAGAACATACCCGAGGAGAGTTTAAACTTCGTCAAGATGGCTGTTCCGATGGCCTTGCAAGATAAAAACCCCCAGGTCCGCAACTATGCTGGAAATATTGCGACAGAGGTCATTCGGAGAGGGGGCCTCCTGAGTTGGCCTGATTTGCTGCCCCAGCTGATGGATATGATTGGAAACACCAGCGGCCAGGTTGCCAACGAAGCTCAGGAGGGAGCCATGTCAGCCATGACCAAAATATGCGAGGATAATCCTCGTGTCTTTTTAAGAGAAGTCAATGGACAGCGTCCATTGAACTTTGTGCTCCCGCAGCTCATAGCTGCCACCAAGAGCCCGCTTCCCAAGGTCCGCGGCGGAGCTTTGACTGCCATCAATGTCTTCACACCTAGAGCCTCCCAGGCCATGGTCAACTCCATTGACGATCTCCTACAACACCTGTTCGTTCTTTCCAGCGACACTAGCCCCGACGTCAGACGACAAGTTTGCCGCGCCTTTGTTCACCTTGTTGAAAGGCGGCCAGACAAGCTGCAGCCCCATATCGGCGGCTTAGTGGACTACATTATTTCGCAGCAAAAGGGAGATGATGAAGATCTTGCTTGTGAAGCAGCTGAATTTTGGCTTGCTGTGGGAGAGCATGAAGATTTGTGGCAAGGTCTACAACCATATCTTCACAAAATCATCCCTGTCCTCTTGGAATGTATGGTTTACAGCGGTGAAGACATTGCTCTTCTTGGTGGCGAATCCGACGATGAGGATGAAGAGGACAGGGAGCAAGATATCAAGCCAGCATTCGCCAAAAAGAACTTGAACAGGACTACCAATGCAAATGGCGACTCGGCGAACCAAAATGAAGGCGGCAATGCCCATGAAAAGCTTGCTGGCATGGATGATGACTTGGAGGAAGGCGAGATTGATGAGATAGATGATGGAGATGAGAATCCCGATGAACGGTGGACGCTTCGGAAATGCTCAGCCGCGGCATTGGACGTTTTTGCCCGAGACTTTCGAAATCCTGTCTTCGAGGCCATCTTCCCTTATCTATCTCAGAACTTGAAGCATGACGAGTGGCCACACCGTGAGGCCGCTGTCCTGGCTTTAGGAGCAGTTGCAGAGGGATGCATGGATGTTGTTGTTCCTCATCTTCCGGAGCTTGTGCCGTACTTGATTTCTCTCTTGGAAGACTCCGAACCTGTTGTCCGGCAAATCACCTGTTGGACGCTAGGTCGATATTCAGAATGGGCAGCGGAATTGCCGGAACAGAGCCAGAGAGAGCAATATTTCGTGCCACTCATGGATGGTATCCTTCGCAAGATGCTCGACAAAAACAAGAAAGTCCAAGCCGCCGGTGCTTCGGCGTTCGCCAACATTGAATACAAGGCTGGCTCCCACCTGGAGCCATATTGTGGGCCCATTATTCAACAGTTTGTTCGATGTTTCGGTAAATACAAGGACAAGAATATGTATGTCCTTTATGATTGTGTTCAGACACTGGCCGAGCGTATTGGGTCGCTGCTCGCCACTCCTGAGCTCATGAACCAGTTGATGCCAGCCCTGACAGAAAGGTACAACCTCGTCTCAGACCAATCTAGAGAAATTTTTCCACTCCTGGAATGCCTATCTTATGTTGCCTTGGCCCTGGGACCCGAGTTCGCCCCGTATGCGCCCCCGATCTTTGTACGATGCATCAATATCATTCACATGAACCTGGAGCAGAGCCTAGCCGCTGCAAGCAATGGTGCTCTCGACACCCCTGACAAGGACTTCCTCGTAACTAGTCTTGATCTCCTAAGTGCGATTGTTCAGGCTTTGGGCGAGGAAAAGTCTACAGAGCTTGTCAAGACATCCCCTCAGCCGTTCTTCGAGCTGCTTACATTCTGCATGGAGGACCCGACTGACGAGGTCCGACAATCTGCATATGCTCTGTTGGGCGACTGCGCAAATTACGTATACCCATTGATGCAGCCACACCTGAGATCTATTTTACCTATCGCCATAAAACAACTAGACTTGGATTCTATGCTGGACGACGAGGTCGGAGATGGTTTTGGAGCTTACAACAACACCTGTTGGTCTCTCGGCGAGATTACCATGCAGCACGGCAAAGGCATGGCACAGTGGGTTCCTGGTCTTCTCAAGCACCTTGTTGAGATCATGTGCAACGCTCGCGTTCCAAAGAGCCTCGCTGAGAATGCCGCTATTGCTCTGGGTCGGCTTGGCATAGAAAATTCGGAGTTGTTGGGCCCGGCTCTCCCGACGTTTGCCGAGGACTTCTTAAGCCTAATGAAGAAGATCGAACCAACTGACGAAAAAGCTTCTGCTTTTAAGGGATTTTCTATGATTGTGGGTCAAAACCCGCAAGCTATGGAAAAGGTGTTGTTGGATTACTTTGTGGCAGTTGCTCAGTATGAGGACTCGGAATTGCAGAATCCATTGAAGCAGGAACTTCACGATGTCATTCAGCATGTAAGTATATATCGGATCAGAACCGGCGGTGACCCAATCCACGTGACTAACAGCGATTTGATGCTAGGTCCTGAACCAGTACAAGCAGATAATGCCGCAATTTAATGACTTTCTCGGGCAGATGCGTCCCCAGGATAGACAGACACTCACAAATCACTACTCTGTTTAATTTCTCTGAATTGGCTAATTCAGAAATATCCAGGCTGAGTGTGCCGGTTGGGAAGAAGAGTATGGTTTGGAACATGACTACCCTACAGCTTGAATCTCGAACGGCGTAACAT